CGTGCCTCCCCCCGCACGGAACAAAGATATAAATGTTCACACGTTGCTGCACTCTAGCAGTCTCTGATGATGAACTCCAATTCGAGTTTGAAAGCTAAGCCTAATAGATCTATCGTCCAAGTGATCGTGCCTTCGTCTTCTTTTAAGGAGGGATTATTCCTGTACGTCAGGCGTAAGACATCCTGGACTCCATGGTGGACATACTAATAGGGTGTGTGAGAAGAGGGGCTACCCGAGAGCAGGAAGATTTAAGGAGAAATAATAAGAGACCGTCTGGCCTGACAACTCTTGATCCAAGGACCTTTTTAAGGTGCCTCCCCACTTTCAGCACAGGCAGAGGAGAGAAGAAACGCGCTAGAAGTGGAATGTCCTTTGAGGGTAGATTGGAGTCATTGTGATTAAAGAAAAAATTTACGTTTGAAGAGTTTAAATCAGCATCCATTTTTGGTGCGGATCTCGGATGGAGTTGGTGCAACTGCGTGTCGGTGAAAATAGCCGGTGCCGCTTCCTCACGTTGCCGCCGAATCCCAGCAACATTCGTCGCAACACTGACCACGCTCGCTCTCTACGTCGGCCTCTTCCACCCCCCCCCCTCCCCCCTGCAGCTGCCCACAGCGCTGCATTCTCCACCATTTGTTTTGCAGGCATGCTGGCGTCAAATCCCCATTTAGACGGATCAGCTCCCAGATATAAATCATACTTTTATGTACCGTTAACTATTACTCTATGCACAACTTTCATTCTGTTCCTATTATACATACATTTGTGCTCGTCAAATTCTTTTTCTACCTTGTCGCTTGGACGAGTGCAACCAGATGTCTAACAGCGTACTTCGGTAACAATCGGGAGATGGCACCCAAAAAATCCGCCTAACCAAAGCAGCCTGTCTTACGGGACAGGTAGTAATAGGGGTTTTATGGGTGGTAGCTGGTCGGGATGTACGATACTAGCCGACGAAAAGCCCTATTTGAACAGGTGTATGACGGAATTTGGCTCGCACTCCATTCTGTTATTACAAAATGGGTCGAAAACAACAGTATAGTGGTAACGGACGAGTGGAAGGTGTATAATAGTCTTCCCTCAGAAGGTTATCTACATTTCTCTGTTAACCACTCAAAGAACTTCAAGGACCCTACCACAGGACGACACACCAATGCCATTGAGGCATACTGGAGTAGACTGAAAAGGAAACTCCACGAGGGAGGCCCTGTATGTGGTCAAGCTGTGTGGGCTCACATGGACGAAGTACAGTATCGTCTTTGGTTTGGCCTCAATGCCCTGCCTTTGACAGATGTCTGGGAACTGTTCCTGTCCCATGTTGTGCAGACGTATCCTATTTAAAAGTTTTTTTGTTTTGTAATAAACTGCCATAAGGCGAATGCATGCCGTATATTCAGGTGTACGTGTATAACGATGGGGAAGGTTGAGTAACAGCGACCATCGTCCATATAACCTCCTGCGATGTTCGTTCGGCCAGCCCATGT